AATATAAAAAATAATAATTTTATACACATTATTTTCTAACATGGTCATAATTTTCACAGATTGTCAGATTTTCCTGAATATTTAATCCAGTTCATGAATATTTAATCAGACAGTAGTGCGGGAGGAGTGACATCATCGCGTCCGCCATATTTGTAGCATGATGCCACTGTTGCCACGGTTACACATTAAACAGAGCAACTCCTTCCAGTAGAACTTAAAACTAACCAAATTATTATTTTTTTATTCCATTTTATTAGTGATAGTTGTTTATTTTGTACTTTTACTATTTTGTAAATATATAACCACAAAACAATTCAAGCGCGACTCCTGGTGGAAACTAAGAATACAAACAAAATGGCTGCTGTGCCCGATGTGACACCTCCTCCCGCTCTATTCCTCTCAGTTTCAAATATCACATTTAGAAATAATTGTGAGTTATATTAATTGATAGTCAAATGAGAAGTAAAGTATACTGTTGCAAAATAAAATCATGTGAAAAAAATCAATAAAATTAAATTTGTGATGTTACTGGAAAACATGATTGTGAAGTAAGTAGCAGGACGCTAATCTGACAAAAATATATTTGCTAATCTTTTGAAACCACGTCTTAATTTATGTGAAGATTCTCAATACGCCCACTTCTAACTAAGACCGTAACACGACATGCAATAACAGGGCCCCTTTGCATGTAATTTATTTTGATAGATTAAGGGTCTCCGAGAGATTAAGTCAGTACAACCATATGCCAGAGCGGTATAAAATGTGCTCATCACACTCAATTTGCTTAGCAAATTTGTAGCCGTTAATGCTGCAGTGGGAAAATATATTGAGTTACTTACCACCTTGTGTCTTTGCTGCCGAGGAGCTGCTCACGCGAGTTCAGGGTCATTACCCTCGCTGTCAATGATAAATGGAGCTTGATAGCATCTGCACTTTGTTACAATGGAAACAGATTAATACCTTAGGGTGAAATTTTGCATATTACAAGGGGGGCAATCTCACCCTCTCCTGTTTTCTTTCCGCATCCCGTGTTTTGAAACCCGAATAGTTGTTGTTCTCAAATGAGCTCGTCTAAATGGATCATTTGAAGATTTGGAGGGGAAATGGTTTGTTTGGATATGCTAAGCAGACGATCACGTCTGAGACAAAGGTTGCTTGATTAATGTAGGAAAAAACAAGGCCATGTTCTAACTATGTCTGCATCATGACGGTCTGTGATATTGTCATTGTAAATTACAGACCATCAGGGGCCACGAAACACTGTGTTTTAGAAACAGCTGTCCTTTCATCTTAAAACTCACCTCTGGATGCGCCTTTGTCAAACCATAACATTTTCTGCCTCAAAGATGTTTACATTTACTTTTAGGCCTCTGACCCTTTCATCACAAAGAAGCTTACATTACGTAAATGTTTTCTCAGGTAGTTTACCAGTATGTTCCATGGGAATCGATCCCATGGCCTTTTGATATGAAAAAATCTGTTTACAAATATAAAACGCTGCTTTAATGATGCGTTGACCTTGACTTCATTGGTAGATTTGGAGAAGTCTGCAATGCGCTGGATCATGTTAGCAATTACTAATAAAGCTGAAATTATACTAGTACTTTTTTGATAAAGGGTTTGTGTTTTGTAATTCCCCGTTTTCAACATGAAGAGTTTGCTCTCCGTCTAAAAGGAGCACATAAACTGCTCTTATGCTGATGCACTTTCAAGTAGATGGCACACCCGGAGGATGGAGACAATTAAAAGATCTAAAGCCTTGTTTAGACGGCTAATCTGGGTGGTCCAGAGCTTGGGCGACAAGTTACAACTGGATAGAGCCACAGTAAAGTCTCCGTATGTATGGAGTCTGGAGAAGACAGAGATATTTGTGCTTTTAATGTTGCATTAAAATAATAAATAAATGTCCAGATTTTATATTATTTAACTTAATCTGTTTCTAAATCAATTGTGAGACTTCTGAGCAGTTGGTGGGTGGTCTTCGTTTATGTCTGGTTTGTGTATATATTAGCTTTTGGGGGCCAAAATGCGAGTCACATGAAGTTTCCAAAATAAAAGTGTTCATCAAGCTGTCAAGTGCTTGAAAAGGGGATAACAATTGGTTATGGATGTACAAATCTATTTCATGATATTATAAATAGCATAAAACAAACGTTTTTTAAGTGTTTTTAAGCATGATTCATCATAAGTATGTAGGAAAAATTGCAAAAGTCAATGTTAACCCTCATTTCTGTTTTACCTTATGATTTGATGTGATGTCATCTACCTGTATCTTCTCTGTGTCTGGCGGCAGAGCAGAAACTTGTGTGTTTGTGACACTGACGGGCATCACAGAGCTTGCTTCTGTACCATCCTGGCCTGCAAGATATCAAATCATGACTGCCATCTGTCTGAGCAGCCAGACAAAGACATAGAGCGGCTCTATCTGCTCCACACAGACGTAGAACATCTCACTGAAGCATAAGCCAGCAGTTCAGTACAATGCATCGCTTTTATCTCAGAGATAAATAGATAAATGAGCAGCAGAGACACAGAGAAAGGCACGCGAATATCAACATGGCATTACATTTCAGTGATTTAAAAAAAACGTAGTATTATCTTTCACACATTATCAGAGCTTTGTTTCAGTTTCTTTTAGTTTTGAATAAGGAAATCAGTCCGTTTAAAAGATTATTGCTTATGCAAACTTTGGTTGACTCAGTTGAACATTCAAATGAACTTGGAACCGAATAAGAATTGTAACCTGCTGTGGAGGCATGTCTTAATTCTTCCAGCCGCAAAGCTTCTAAACATGGTAAAATCTTATTGGTAGTAATTTTTTTATTATTATAATTATTAATATTTGTAGGTTGGTTAGATTTCAATTTGATCAAGTTTTGTCATTAGCAATTAAAGGTCCACCATGTAATTTTTCACCACTGGAAACAAGTGTTCAAACTATGGCTTTGGTTGACAAGTGTTGTGGACTATGTAGGGGAAACAACCAAAAATGGGATTTGTCGTTTTTCCTGTCATTAAATATAAATAAAACAACACATTAGAGTTTAAGTGTTTTCCAAGTGAATCTGTTCACTATCAAAATAGCATAAATATTCATTAATATCAGAGCTGTTTTTTTAAAGTCCCTATTTAAATGACGAGGCCAACTGAGCATATGTGTCCACCAATGAGTGCTGCTGTAGATACTCCAAAATTACATCACGTGATGGTAACAAGGAAGTAGCTTGACGCAAACTGGGATTATTCTCATTTTAACTGGGAAACTTCTCGTATAATGTAAGTAATACACCAGATTTCAAGAAGTAAAATCCAACGATTTGTACCTTAAGCACAACAAAGTGCTGTGCATGATACAATACAGAACTAAAAAGTATATTAAGCGCTGTAAAATAACAACAAAAAAAATTGGCATATTGTTTAAAGTATATTTTTATATTATGTATTAACACTACAGCTAAACATTGTTAGATTTCGTTACCCGCACAGAAAATCATTTGGACTGAGTGTACTTTTGTGCCCCATTGGCAAACTGTCGGAGCATAACTCTCGCAGACTTTAGTAAAGCACTTTTCATGCCAGGAGACAGAATCTCACTCTGTCCTCGCTCTGAACCTGAAAGTGCAGAATTTGTACACAATGTGAGTGTTTGCTAAAGGAAGCCCAGAAATCTTTCAGCTTCCTTCCACAGCGCTCAGAGAAGCCCTTATAGAGACCGGTATGATCTCAAAAAAAAAAAAAAATGGTTAAGAATGTATTCACTTGTGTTTACCTTTTCTTATTTCATATTATCTTAATCTAAAGGAGACAATCTTAAAGGAATTTTCAGGAGAACTGAACTTTGTGATTCATAAAATTCTTTAGGCACTTAAATAGAACTTACATGTAAATGCCACATACAATTGAAACTCAAAGCATCTTTTTAAGCCAAACTACAAACGTGCAGGAAATAAATTGTTTTTTTACATATTACATTTGACAACATAAGTTGTCCTACATAGCTCAACTAGAAGGTAAATGCTTATTATACTCTTTACACTGTATAGTTTGAGCATTTCTACTAAAACACTGTTGTTCATTACTCCGAAAACCATACATCATTTTGAAAATACATACATCGCATTTCAAACAAATCATTCAAAGAGACATCCATTCTTTTTTTAATAATTTTATTCTTGTTTTAACCAAGCGAAAACTCCCATGTAGCAAACCCCTGCTTTCCCTTGTGTGACAGATCCTGCTGCTCATTGAGTGACCACTAGAGGCATATTCCAGAAGTGAGCAGGGTCCCCTTCGCCTATTTCACATGGCCACTACTTTGTCTTATTGTTGTGTGTGACGCAAGGTACTCGTTATCTGACCAAAATTGTAATATATTTAACTTTACTTTCTATAGTTGTGCTTTCAACAACCCCCAATTTCAAACATCAGTGACTGAAAATCTTGGCAGCAGTTCCAGATTTGTTATCAATGCTTAAGTTTTAGTTATATTAAGCCTTACTGTTTTACTAAATGAGGGTTGGTTTCTTGAGTCAGTGGCTGTCAATCAGGAACCTTCGGTACTCTCATTTCCTACCTCTGTGTTTCCTTTGCCCATGTTCAGTTTTTCTGAAATCATATACTTTGAAGAAACAAGAAGGCTGGCAACACCCAATTTTAGACAGAATCCCGAAACCTATTGATACAGTCCACGTTATACAGCCAATGGTTTTAACAAACGAGTTCAATGAACTTTATTCATATTTGAATGAGTAAATTAGCATCACATTTTTTTTTAATGAACTGTCACATCAGATGTTGATATTATGTCAAAAAAAATGTTTAAGATGACTTGTGTGGAGCCCAGCCCTTTAAATCTTCCCGAGCTATTGCTGAACACACCATTGTGCATCAGTAAATGATGACTGTTCATCTTACATATTTACATTTATGCATTTGGCAAATGCTTTTATCCAAAGGGACTTGTGTTTTTTTAATAAACACATTTTTTTTTGTTCAGTTCTTGCTTTCCCTGGGATTTGAACATATGACCTTAGCGTTGTTAGAGCAGTGCTCTACCAACTAAGCCACAGGAAAGCTAAACAGCTAACAAAAAAATGTAAAAACTGAGCCAATGTAGATGATAACTAACGATATACGGATTTGTACGAAAAATGAAAACAATCTTAGAACAACTCGTATTAGGGGTCAACAACAATAAAATAATTGCTTTATTTCGATCACAGTTTTTGTCCTTTTTAATCATAAAATTATTCAAACGTGATTCATTTTCAGTATGTTTTTCTTGTGTCTCTCAGGTTCAACTTTAAAGTAGACGACATCTGGTCTGTGGCATCTCCCAATGAGAGGAGCTTTCAGCATGTCATGAGGTAATGATTCTCCTCGAAGACCAAACTGAAACCTGTTTATTGCAATTATGTCACAGAAATGAAGAAGCATGAGCATGAGGTGCTCAAACACTGTCTCAACATATTCACCGGGATATTTCCCAGTGCTATGAGCCTGACTTCTGATTTGATTGTGTGTAAATGTCTAGATAATGACCCACTAACGCTTGTGAAATCACATCATTGTGCATGTGTGTGAATCCCAGATTCTCTGGTCAGATACACAATAGAAAAAGATCCTGCTTCTCTCTGTAACAACAACCCTGCTGAAGTGGCAGGATTAAAACATAGCCAGAGTTGCCATGGGAAAGAGCTTCTTTTCCCTTGGATCTGTTTTCCATTTCCCGTGCCCATCTGGGATGGAGATTTTTATGTGCTTACACTATCAATGTTAGGCCTGTTAATTCACATCTGCAATTATAATGTCCAATTAGAAACAGGCCAGGCTTGCCTTTATGTTATGAAAGCAGAGGCGGTTGGAGAATTGTTTTATTTTAGACTTAAATGGCCTTGAGCTAAATTGAATTCCAGATAATTTTATGCCTGCAGCCGGAAGGGTTAATATTAGGGGGTGATATAAAGTTTGAAAAAGTAAAATATTCTGTAGTATACCATATTCAAATGATTTTATTTCATCCATTGGGTTTAAAGATGGGTTTTTTGTTGTATTTGGGGGTATTGTTGTAGCAATATCTTCTGGGTTTGTATCAAATCTAGATTTGTGTATAAATGTGTCCCGCAGTCAACAAACATGTACTCACATTTGAAAATCTGTGCAAAAATTGAGGTTCGTTATCATTGAAAACATTTGTAGGATTTTTCTACTTATTTAACCCCATAGTTTTACCACTGAATCTTCAATTTAACTCTAGTAAGTTTATTTGTATTACAGTAAAACATCAATTGCTATAATATATCATATACATTATTGTTTTTAATGATGAGTTTCAAAATAGTTTTTATTCTAAATTTATTCGTTTATAAAGTTAATATTAATAAAGTTTAAAATATTTCACATCTAATTATAAGATTGATCTTGAAATTTGGATAATATTCCATTATTAAAAGCACATTATGTAATTTTTCACGTAGAGGTACAAAAAAAAAAAAGCAAATAGCATTGATGTGCACGTGTCATCAGCCAATGACTGGCACTCAAGATGCTCCGATTACATCACACACAGTGGTGAGGTCCTAACAAAAAAGTTTACCCAACTTACCCAACCCAAATTGTAAATAAAAGTGGGCAAAAAGACTGATTAGCAATCAATTAATCTATTTAACGTAACATTTTTCATGTATCATTTTTTCATGATCTTCAGTTGGCTTGTCATTATCTTCGAAATAATATTACTGGTTGGTGGGCGGGAAATGACGGAATTCAAACAAAAATGCACCAATTTCAGCAAAGTAAGCAGCAATTAAAAAAAAAACACTAGCTAGACAGTTAAAAGGGATGCGAATACACATAATTTGGAGAAATCCAATCAGCAAAACAAGTGAGAATACAGAGGGTACACGCAATTATTGATCATCAGAAGTCGTAGTACCCAAACAGCCCAGGGAAAAAAAGAGGGATACGGAGTATATGTGCGTATAGCCTCGACTACACCATTTTTAAATTTGCCAACATTTCATACATAAGTAATCTGAAGCGTTTGATATAATGTATGTACACAACTGCTTGATAGGATTCAAACCATGTGGAATTTATATTTTTAATAAAAAATAAAACAAAACGTACATAATATACTCTTTGTCCTGAGTTCAATCTAAACCTAGTTGTTGACAATCCCTATGCCGTGTATTGGTTTAGGTAAAAAGTATAAAGTCTCTTATTATAGTTCTCGTATCTCTCTTCACCGGTAAATGCTGTAGAGTCCTGCAGTGTGAACCTTGTAAGAAATCCTCTGTGTGCGTATCGAGCAATAAGTAATCGAGAAAAACGATCGTGTCTGCCATGGAGGAGGTGGTAGACTAATGATCCTCTCACTCATGATGATGATGATGGCATTAACTTCCTGCTATCTAAGCCCCTCCCACACCTCACTCGGGGGAAATTTAAACAGCAGGAGCACGACGTGCGGCCTTTGGTGTCTGTTCTGGTCTACAGTTAACATGGAATCATCTGACTTTTGGTTTAGCAGTATTTCTAAACACTCTTAGATTTAGAATGACCAGCAAAAAGTTATTTATTTTATTTATTTCAATATTTTAAATACACCTTTTCACATGATTCTCACATGGTATTTAGAAAAAGGCTGCTGTATCAAAACAGACGGAAGTTGTCCATTCAGTGTCTTCAGTGAGTTAATTGGAATAAATGACATTTGTTACGTTTATCTCCGCTCCCAAAAGCAGCACACCTTCACCTAGCAAAGTCAACATTGAGGCCTCTACCTACCGGTCGAATATTCAGATGGCTTCTCAGCAGGGCGCTCTTGAGGAATTATTAATGCAATGATGCTCCCTGCCTGAAGATGGCGTTTTCGGTTAACAGATGCCACACGGGGAAACTGAAAATAAGAGCAGGAAGAAGACAGAGAAGAAATCAAAGTTTATTCTTTTGATGGCTGATCACATGGAGCGGTTTCCAGTTTCCTGTACAAAGTCTCTATGAAAATGTGGGATGAGGGCCACCAAATGGCTCTTTTCAGTCCTACTCATGTCATCAAAAGAGCCAGCTTTAATTGGTCGTTCACCTGGTGAAAAACGGATCCAGTATGGCAGTTCGGTGGCACCACTTATTCGGTTCATGTGTGTGCTCCTTTGGTGGTGTCCATAGTTTTTGATTTAGGCGTGTTGTCGCACAAAACTTTGCACCAAAAATTTTGGCTGTGTGTATCGGCCTTTACTCTGCAATGTAAAAATCTCAGACTTAGGCACAGCAGATAATGACAAGTGAGGCTATTCAGAAGTCTCCGTCAAGAGTTGTGGGTGGGATTATAAGGTTTGTGACATCAACAAGACAAGTTGATGTGAATAGTTTCAAGAGATTTCTTAATTTATTTTTCGTTTGTTGTTTACAGCCCTTTGTCGGTTAAAAAAGAAACATAAGAAAGTATTAAACTAATTCATTAAAAATATAATAAAAGTATCCCTGTTTTAGTTTACTTTTAGTCCATTCAGCATTTGAGAAAACTCTTTCCCTTCTCTTCACTTTAAATGTATATGTATATATGTATTTTTTTAATTCATTTAATATGTCCAGTCAACTATAAGACTAACCCTCTGTACAAGTCACTTTTTTTACAGTTTTAAAAATATGTTTGATAAATGTATTGGTAAAATTAAGATTAACAATATAAATGAACCACTGCCACATTATATAAACTGCAGATGGTGGGTATCAACTACTAAAACTGAGAATTTATTTCACTCTAATTTACTTGAGCAGGAACACATTCACAGTGATTTCAACCCAAAATTTGTGACAAATTACAAAATACTCTACTCATTCATAAAAAAGGAACACATGCTATTCCAGTCTTTGTTGACCCCTAGAATCTCCCGAAGCATAATTTTCTCAAGATTTCAATATTCATTGGATTTAGTTTGGGATAATACATTCTATGTTGATTCATTTGGAGGTATAAAAAAGCCGAGACCCGCTATATATTTAAAAAAAATAATATTGTAAAAAATTCATAAATGTTTGGAATCGAATAGTAAAATGTGTTTATACCACTTTACAATGTGGATAAAACCCGGATATTTTTTTAGAACCCAATCTTACATACTCTACCTTTTAATCACATTTTATTCATTTATTTACATCATAATTGCAGGTTTGACAAAAATGTATAAAAATATAGTCACACAATCTAGAAACAAGCTTTTGTTAGCTTTTGTCGTAGACCTAAATGATCTAGATGTGATCGTTAACTATTAACATCAGATAGTATTTTCAAGGAACTTTGTGGGGAATATCTGAATATGTTTCCTTACTTAAATACAGGGTTTACAAAGACTTTGTAGCTTGCTTAGTATAATAAAATAAGATCCCTTCTTTGTGGTACAATAGATGTGACTTTCAAGCAATGCAATTCAAGGTTCTAGCGCAGCCACCCTAGCCTGCATTGTGTCTTATTTCAAACAATAATCATTGCCAGTAGTTCCACCATGTGGTGTACATCATATATGGAGAGGCTCTTTTTCGGTTGCACCAAAAGTGTGTAATTAGAATCTGTGGCACGGGTGTGTGATGTCCTCCCCCTCTGTCCTGATAGAGTCCTCTTGTGTGAAGATCTTACAGACCCAATTACTGTAATCACGATGATCAAAGGGAGTGTGCTGATGAAAAGAGCGCAAGTCAAGTCAAAGTGTGGCTGAGAGTGTGTGAGTGTGTATCACTGAGTGGGGGTCGGAGTGCTATTGGCTGCTCAAATCCATACTCGTTAAATACACAGATTAGCTTCTTATATGTTTATTTGTTTCTGTGCAGTTCTGCGGATGACACAGAAGGTGGCAAGTTACCTGCTGGTATGACGCCCATTGTTGGTGAGCACTGCTAGAATTGTCGGTGGTTTGACAATGTTCCACTCTGATTGACCAGTTTTGCAACATGCAGATAGCTAAATGCTAATGGTGTGCATCAAGCATCCACACCACTAGGTGTCAGTCAAAATTGCAATCAGAGTACAAGAAAAATACATTGCTTTCTGTGGCTGAAGTTGTGCATTTTTGTAATT